TTTTTTTTTTTTTTTTTTTTTTTTTTTTTTTTTTTTTTTTTTTTTTTTTTTTTTTTTTTTTTTTTTGCAGTTGGAAACTAACTATCTATCATAATTTCTATTTCTGCCCTCATAGAAATAGAAATTACACAATTGTATCTACACATTAATTCCATGACAACCATACCCTTAAGCCTACTTATAACTCAATTAGATCACTTAAGTTTTAGGCTTCTTATAAATGATGACACACATTTAAATAGGTGGTCCCAATTAGAAATTAATCCAACAATCTCCCATTGGACCACATATGTCACTTGATAAATGTGTTTAACTTTAGTGAGCTCAGAAATTTGTTATCATGACTTGAGGGTATCCACACAATCTTGTCCATTAACTATATTGATATAGGATCAAAGCAGTCTTTGTTACATTAATCATAACTTAACCTATCAATGGCCACATATACCAACACAGCCAAATGACGTAGATCAATCATGGATGTGTAGCATGGAAATTACATGTAATGTGATCCACACATGCCTATTTCCAGTTGGTCCTATTTAACTTTATTGAGATCAATACTTCAAAATACGTAACAGAATGTAATAAACTAAATACTCATTTCTGCAGAAACCAATCTAAGTACATATATAAAACTCAAGTCTAACATAAAGCAATAATACAATAACACAAATACAAACTCCCACTAAACCAGAATGTTCTCAAATCGAACACCCATATGAGCAGTGTGCTCATGAAAGACCTTGGGTGGTAGTCCCTTTGTAAGCGGATCCACTATCATGGAGTTTGTCCCAATGTACTCTATGGAAATCTGTCCACCCTGCACTCTTTCTTTTACAACTAGGAATTGTCGAGCTCCTACTGTTATTGGAATATAGAACCGCTGACTTATTGTCATAGTATAACTTGAGTGGTCTTCCAATACCTTCCAAAATGCGTAACCCAGTGACAAAATTCCGCAGCCATATTCCATGATTTGATGCCTCAAAACATGCTACAAACTCTGTGGCCATGGTGGACAAAGCTATGAGCGTCTGTTTTGCAGACTTCCAAGAAATCGCTCCACTGGCCAAAAGAAAAATATAGCCTGATGTGGATCTTCTACTGTCTTGGCATCCAGTAAAATCGAAGTCGGAATACCCAACGATCTCTAACTGATCCGATCTCCTATATGTGAGCATATATTCCTTTGTTTTCTGTAAATACCTCATAACTCGCTTGGCTGCTTTCCAATGATCCATTCTAGGGTTACTTAAATATCTGCCTAACATGCTAACTATGAACGCAATATCCGGACGTGTACATACTTGGGCCTACATTAGACTCCCTACAACCGAGGCATAAGGAATCTTTTGCATTTCTTTAATTTCAAGATTGTTTTTTGGGCATTGGTTGAGACTAAACTTGTCTCCCTTAGCGACCGGGGTTTCACCTGGTTTGATGAGTAGAGCATGAATGCATGAAAATGAAACAAAAAAGAAAAAAGAAAAAAAGAATAAACTGTATTTACATTGATGGCAAACATCTAATTCATGGGAATGTAAGCCTTCAAGGAATATACAATAAGAAAAAGAAAAAAAAATGTATAAAAGAAAAAGTTTTAATAAACAAACAGGAGAAAAATATAAAAGAAAATATTATTAAAAAAACCCTATAATTTCAACAAAATGAGAAGATTTTTTAGAAAAAATAATTACTATCTAGAACGAAAAAAAAGATTTGTAAATATTGGGCTGTAGAGAAATAGGTCAATTTACTAATCAATATAGAAATAAGAAAAATAATACAATAATAGAGACCATGAGAAAAAGTGCTTGCGTACATAGGGTGCCTTATTGGATAATAGCTTCAATGTTGGCATGCACGAAGGGCTTAAGTGTGAGACAGAAGAGAGGGGCTTTTGCGTGAAATAGAAGAAATGGTTTATAGAGTGTCTTCTTGAGTCACGACTTCAATACTTGTGAGAGAGGAGTAGACTCAAGTGCGAGAGAGAAATGAGGGTTTGTAGAAAGTGTCTTCTTGGGTCACG